AGGGCAAGTTATTTTAAACCTTAACAGTTATTTCACTACTTCTCAATTATGGCTTTCATTTGTATAACAACATTTTAATAAAATTTTTAATACCTTGATCTTGAAAAACACAGTCTCCAATTATAAACAAATTTCATGACAATCTGTGAAACTTGAGATAATTTACAGAAAGTTTCTGAAATTTGATATGTTTATTTTTTGCATTTGGACAAATTACAATAAAATAAACATTTAAAAAAAGTAACTTTTGGCATTCCATGAATATTTTGCATCATTAGAAAGAAGATAAAATGCAGAAATTAAAGAAAAAATTGTAGTTTTTAATGTAAAGCTAATAATTTTACAATTTTAGAATAAAAACTGATGTCTGTGAGATACCATGCAACCTAACTCATTTGCTTTTTTTCATGCACCCTCTGTAGAGGGATGTATAACCTCAGTTAACTGACATGTTGGCATTCCCCAAGATAAACTATCATAACTGTTTTTACCATATGGAAATATCTGATTTCATGGTTTCCCTGAGACTTGACATGCTAGTTAATCAACAAAACTATGATAATAATAATAAAATACTCAGAACTCATTCACAAAATAAAGTCCTTATGAGAATGGATATGGTAGTTATTGTGTCAACAGTCCTTTCTCACACAGTGCTTTCATATCACAAACACTACATAAAAGTTTATAAACATTAGGATTTCATAATACCATATTACAAAAAACTGCCATAATAAACATGTCATACAGTCAGGAAATTCTTAAACACAGAAATACATACAGGAACAGCACATTTGCAAAATAACATTTCTTCCTTGACTTGGTCCTGTATAGCACTAAGCACTGATATAAGTTGAGTAGGATACATTCTACCACCAACAACAACAATAATAATAATAATAATAGTAGTTTTTTAATTTTAGTTTTGTTTTGGTTGCTATACCTTGACTCTGGTCCGGCATAGTACACAGCCACTGGTGTGAACTGAGTAACCCACTAAACCCAACACAATAATAATAATAGTAGTAGTAGTAATAGTAAATGTTAAAATTAAATATAAAAGATTTTTGTGTTGATGACATTTATTGGCAGAGATCCAAACGTTGATAGCTCAGTTTCTAAACAGGATCTTCTAAATCAGCGTTTCTCAAAGTGGGCGATAACACCCCCTTGTGGGCGCTGGAGCCTTCTACTGTCCCCCTGAAAGCCTCCAGCTTTCAGGGGGGGCAGTAGAAGGCTCAAAGAGAATTGGGGGGCGTTAAGGAAATATAGAGGGGCGACNAATCTTAAAAACAGAATAGACAGATGAAATTTGAGAAAAGATGGACCAAGTGTCCTCAGAAATTTCCAAAATTTACAACTTTTCGGTCACTCTCATTGAACTGGAAAAATTTCTGTCTTTATTACTTTAATAATACGAAGAAATCAGTCTCCAGTGTACTCAGCTAGAGATGGTTCAGTTAAGCTTTTGTTTAAGTAAAATTTTGGCTCTTTCATCAGGATTTTATTTATGTCCCTAATTCCCTAATCTCTTAATTATTTAACTATTTCTTAAGTAGAAATAAGTTGAAACTGGTTACTCTGTACTTGAATATTTGTAATCTTGGGAAAGAAGTGGAAAAACAAATATTTATGACAACAGATACATAAATCATAAATTTAAGGAAAATAAATTCTAGATCTTTTTTCTGTACCTTGTGCATCTCATTCATTACATTTAGTTGTAAATGATGTTGCCAAAGTAACAGTTCATTTTTTTAACATTGTACAAGAATTGTACACGTTTTTTTCTACATCCCTTTAGAGATGGGACGTACGAAATTGTAATATCACTGGTTTAACATTGAAATCCGTGAGTAATATAAAATCGGTTAGTGGAATAAATATATCAAATATTTTAATGGATTTTTTTAAACTCCCGTTAACTATACAGAACTATCATAAAAACATACCAGTAAACTCCTATCGATTGGGTTAACTTATAAATCTACTCGCAATTCACATAATGGGGCTAGGATGGCCAAATATCTAGCAACAGCCCAGAACCGGTCCTGGATAGAATCATTGAAAGTGTTATACAATATTTTGGTGTTCCACCAGCTAAACTGCATGAGGTTGGTGCTCTGTAAAGTGCATGCGCAAATGTGTATAATCTGGCTGCTTGGAAGCTGTCCCGTATTTGACAATTCCGCCACTGATATTCGAATATACAATAGCAATCTTATCGTTTTTTTCACATGTAGTACAGAAATTTGTAATAAGATACATAATGTGGTTATAATAAAATATTAATTTTAATTAATTCAAAGTATGTTAAAATATGAAAATAATCGCACAATATGTCTTTTTATTTTAGAAAATACAAGGAAAGCGGTGCTTTCACTGCTTCCAAGGTTGGCACACCACTGCTAATCAGACTGTCAAAGCAAATGAGGTGATCTTGTAGTTTTGCCCCTTCTTCGCATTTTAGGTTTGATAGTTGATGCCTAACAAACAACTTTGATAGTATACTTTCTTTCAAAAACACTTTTAGTGCATTTACATATCAAATGCAGTTTTTGTATTATGTACTCCAGTGTCTATCTGAAATGCACTGGACAATGGTGGCTTTAGCCTGTGTGTCCTTAGAAATGTACTCACTTTTCTCTTTCAGAAAGCTGTTCTATTTGTGCTCCTTCTTTCATAATCATAATTAATTCCTTGACTCCTTTTTCTTCCAGTATGATTTCTACTCTGAATTTACAGCTCAAAAAATTGGTATCTGAGTATAGGGAGATTTAGCAAAATTCCTGTTTCCACTATGTTGGGTTCAGTCAACTTGAGAAAATATATATAAATATATATTTTTTGACTTATCTGACATGCACTACTATAAAGGGTAATCTGGGCCCACCTGTTGAAATTAAATAAAAGTGGTCCATACTCTTGGACTTGACAACACTAATGACTACACACTACACACAACAAAAGACAGAAAGAGCAGGTTTTTATTGTTAATTCTTTAGAACAAAAGACTACAAGTCAGCAAACCCTGTCAGTGGGTTTAGGTAAGCAGCCCAATTCCAACAATTTCAACACGCATAACAACAAAACAGATTATTTATTGAAAAAAAGTAATTTAAAATTTAAAGTCTTAAATGCATTTATCATTATTTTTCATTTCCAAGAATAAAAGCCCCTAAAAATTAAAAGTTTTAATTTTTGGGCTGCAATTTTCAAATTGCATACCTGTAGATTCCCACTGTTGTCTGCCGTCCATCTGTCCTCCTTTAACCTACTCCCTGGTATTCCGGACATATCTCAGGTCACAACCTAATGACCTTGACCTGTGGACCTGAGATATCTCATTTCAGCATCGTAATGTTTTTGAAACTAGATGTCACTAGTCATTATAAATTATTAAAACTAACTTCTGAAATATATTAATAAATGTAAAAACAAAAAAATTATATCTATTTTGTTTGTGCAAAATATAAAAATTATTTTGGACGATATGATTATTTTTTCAAAAACATGTAATTTTTGTTAGGCTTATCATCAACAAAAATTCAAACATGGCGCGACATGCAACAGAGAAAAATTTCAAAATGGGATAGGTTAATCTTAAAAACAGAATAGACAGATGAAATTTGAGAAAAGATATGAAAAGATCAGAGGCCTTGATTAACTATATAGGAACTTCCAGTCTGGACCAGAAGTCGTATGATTTTTTAAATTAAAATACAATTAAAAATTGCAGCTTGGCATCGTGACAATGTCATAATAAATAATTGCTTGTTAGATTTTTAATTTAATTGTGATTTGTTGACAGATTGAAGAATAGAATATATTTTGTTAAATAAATACTCAAAGTAACTTTTTTAGCAAAATTTTAAGTGTAAAGTATTTCTAAAAGTAATCAATGTATTCTTTAAGGCTATCCAAAGAGAAGAGAACTGCACAAAAATGTAAACTTCACATTATGAATTAACTTTTGAACAGCATTAAAAAAAATATTATTGAAATATAACTCAACTGTTACTAGTTTATTACCGTATTTATTAGTCGTATCTAGCAGAAACTTTGCTATAAGACATTACCGTTAAATCACACATAAATAGGAAAAATAACAAGTAAATAATGTTATTTATGCAAAATGTATTAATATAAAATTATTAATGTAAGATTGTTACAGGAAATCCTCATTAAATTGAAATTGGACAGTTCAAAATCCCATTAGTTCATAACTGAAATATTTGTCCCAGCCAGGGAAATAGAGATTTACATGTTAAGGAATTTGGCTAGTTCAAAATACAGTTCATAATTCAAAGTGAAAATTCTGTCCAAACTGTGATATGCATATGTTAACTTGTTCATTTAAACTGAAGTGCCTCCATGCTATAAGAGAAAAGCAGACCAAAAACAACTCTAATCTGGTCAACGTAACTTCGCTTTTACAGCAACACTTTTTTGGGTATCACTTTACCCATAAACTACCCTTTTTTCTCTTATCTCAAAAAATACATAGTAGTAGATTGAAATATTTGTAGGGCTCTACACTACTAGATTTGGGCCATTTGCTACTTTCTGGGCCACTTTAAAAATAATTAGGGTTGCATTTCTAGGAATTCTGCTATACTTTTTATATGTATTTGGTGATCCATGAGGTTATCAGTGGACACATGCTGTTTACCTGCAGTTTATTTATATTATTATTATTAATTAATGAAAACAGTATTCTTTATACATAGCTGCATTCTGTTTGCTTAATAAATTACATCAGTTACATGGCATTTAGCATACTGTACAGAAATATGTAAATCTTGGATAATTTGTTGTGATTATTTTATCCCTTGAACTTCCAACTAACAAGGATTTCCTGTTATAAAACTTTCTGGACATAGCAACATGTTGTTTCAATATACACCGTGTCCAAACAGTAGCTATGGTAAATGAATTGCCAGTGATGTCATAACTATTAAAAACATTGGATTTTACTACATTTAGTAAAAAAGAAATACCTGGCAGATATCCTGCTGAATACTGCATTAAAATTGTTTAAACTCAATGCAAATAACACTTTGGAAGCCAAATTTTTCAATTCAACAACAAGAGGATTATCACTTGGCACTTCAATAAACTAACAAAAAACAAACAAAAAATTCCTGTTAAGAATATTAAGAATATTGCTGGAAAAAATATACGGTATATATTTTAAAATGTATTTTTAAATAATAATTAAAACTTTCTTAATTATTTTTTACATTGCATAATTAAAACAAATTTTTACCTGACATAGTTCACGAAGTAATGATTTCACATTCATTGCTTCATCATATCGCGTTGTTTCCTTTGGTTGCTAAGAAAACAAATAATTGTGTATTTACATAATTACATAAAAAAATTACAGCTGTGAAAAGAAAACTGATTAAATTATCTTTTGTTAATTTATTTTGATACTGTTTGCTCTTTTTTAGTTTTCTTATTTTCTTTATTTTAATGTTTACACCAAAATAAATTATTAGCAACATTTTGAATTCAATTGAACTATTACTGATATTATATTTCAAATTTAAAAACTTGAAATTTTTAATCTAAGCAAATAAGTTAATGTATGTATTTTTTTAAATTTAACTAAATGGACTCAAAATACAACAAATTTCTCTTTCAAATTTCATAATGATCAAGTTAAAATTATTATAACATTTTTTTTTTATTATTAATGTTGGTTCCAACTGTATTTTTTATTTAAAAGTACAATCTAATTATATCATTAAATAGGACATTATGAGACTTTGTCATATTGCAAAAGAACTGAATTGGAGCTGGAAGGAAAGAAGCACCTGTAAAGCTTAGTTCACACTGAGCGCGATTCGCTGGTGAAAGCAAAAAACAGAGCGAATAACCGGTCAAACATGACTCGTTTGACGGGTTATTCGCTCTGTTTTTTGCTTTTGCCAGCGAATTGCACTCAGTGTGAACTAAGCTTTAGGCACAGAAGAGGCGATTCTTGTACAGTACCTGACAAACACGGACAGGCAAACTTTGCACTTACTGCCACAAAAAGGCTATCCTCATATCTGCAGGCCACAGGAGACATGATCCTTGCACCGGCCAGGTACAGAGAGACAATCCAAGAACAAAGCAATCAATGGCAATACTTGTGTTCCTATGTTTTTTGCATGTATTTTCTGTTAGGCACTGTTTTTATTTTTTATCCTTAAGCCTAAATTCTGTTAGGTACACTAGTCACATCAGAGAGCATAGACATTGCCACTGCAATACCTTTGTATATAGAAAACAAAGACATCATAGACTCCTATTTTTACTTTAAAGCCCTTTGTTAACAGAGCCAGGAAAGTATGGCAATCTGTCAAAAAAATGACCCCCCAAGATTTTTATATTTTTGGACTCAGGGAATTTTAAAATATAGAGAAATACAAAAACATTCAGTTTTTATCTATATGTATAGATGTTAATGTGTGTGGCATAATTTTGTTTACTCTCTTCGAAGCTTAATAACTCCTGTACTTTCGAAAATTTCTGAAATTTTGCAGGAAAGTTTGTGTATTAGAAAGATTCATACTATTAAATTTTGGCAGTTTAACGTCAATGGGGTGGAGAGATAAAGGGTAATCATGTGTCATATCTCAAGTAGGGTCTGACTTAATGATAATTTCACTCGTTATTAGCATTTACAATGTTTTATAAAACGCATCCCTACTCACAAAATAAAGCTTTTTGCTATTCTGATGGCACTGTCTGTTATGAAATATCATGACAGACAGTGCCACCAGATTTTAAATGTTGCTGAGAAAGTTAAGCAATTTGTTGCTGGATTTTTTACACTTAAATGGACCCACATTACATTTCTGAATTCCTCATATCAATTAATGAAAAATGGCAAAGTTTTATCAAAATTGATCCATTCAATTTTGAGAACAAACTTGATTCCATAAGCCCATGCATGATGTGCTTGCAACCACGAAACATCGCATGACAAAGTCGCGCAATTTGTGTGATATTGCTTTGTTGTGTGCACTTGTGAAATGACCTTATATCTTGAAAACAAAGTCATGAACCTCAATTTTTTTATTGCATTTTTGGATTCTCATTGCAATTAATGGAAAATGGCAAACTTTAATCAAAATCTATCAAACAGATTTTGAGAACAAACACAATTCTGTAAGCCTCATAGAAGAAGCTTTGCTAACACTCCACTTCAATTAAAAAGTAATCTTGATTGAAAATATTTAATAAGTCACTGTTACAGTTTTTATTCAAATTTTTGATGATAAATCTTTCACTTAAAAATTCTGCAATATAATAATATAAAATTAATTTCGTAAAAACTCCATAAATTTCAAGTAATATTTTAAATTCCAATTATACTTAACTAAATTTTTCACAAAATTAGTTGCAACAAATTTATTAAGCTAGATAAATCTTTTTCATTTGTTACAATGACGATGTATCATCATGAATAATACATAAATTTTATATTTAATAGATTCAAAAAAGATTCTAATTAAACATATTGTTCTAAGAATTTGAACATTCCTATGTAAAATGATTCATGCCAGTATCACAACTTAACTGTTTTGAATTTTTGAAGTTTTCTTCATAACCTCAGCTTCAGTCATATTGAAATGACTGCATGGCAAGATTCTTTTACTTTTTGTTTTTATGGTGAATAAACTTAAAATACATCAATAGTTCTGATTTCTATGTTCAAAACATGACCGATAGATTGTACCAAATAATTTTAGATTTTACTTGTCAAAATGCAAAGTATAATTATCAGATGACAATAATACAACGCCAACAATACATGCATAAGCTAAATAATTCAAAAACTTCAAAAAATACAAAAATAAAAGTACTTTTGTTTTTATTACTTAAACATTTTCAGTTTAGAACATAGAAAGCAATAAAATAACCTTTAAAAATGCACTTTAAATTAAAAAAAAAACAATAAAACACTTTCCTAATGTTATTTAAAATTAAAATAAAAGCATATTCTATTATTGTTCTTTTGAAGTTTTTATCCTTCTTAATTGAAGATTTAAATTATCTAATTCATGCTTGTATCATGTTATGTTATTCCCATTTAATAATTGCTAAACTTATTAATTACTATTATTACAAAAAAAATTTAAGATTAACATAGCAATTAATTAATTTTTAATAAATGATAAACTTACTCCATTTAAGCACTTTTCTAAAGTATCTAAAATTATTAGCTGCGATTCATAAAAGTTTCTTTCAAATTCTGGTTGAAATTGTCCGTGTGTACGCTGGAAAAAATTTAAATATTTTATATATCTTTTAATTACAATATATTTTCAATATTTAGTTATTTATTAATTTTGTGAGGTAACAAGAGAAAGAAAAATTTTTATTTATAGTTATATTTAGATACATTATTTTTCATATTTATTTTTCATTTTGTTTTAGTTATTTTGACTTTTGGAGGGCAAGTTATTTTAAACCTTAACAGTTATTTCACTACTTCTCAATTATGGCTTTCATTTGTATAACAACATTTTAATAAAATTTTTAATACCTTGATCTTGAAAAACACAGTCTCCAATTATAAACAAATTTCATGACAATCTGTGAAACTTGAGATAATTTACAGAAAGTTTCTGAAATTTGATATGTTTATTTTTTGCATTTGGACAAATTACAATAAAATAAACATTTAAAAAAAGTAACTTTTGGCATTCCATGAATATTTTGCATCATTAGAAAGAAGATAAAATGCAGAAATTAAAGAAAAAATTGTAGTTTTTAATGTAAAGCTAATAATTTTACAATTTTAGAATAAAAACTGATGTCTGTGAGATACCATGCAACCTAACTCATTTGCTTTTTTTCATGCACCCTCTGTAGAGGGATGTATAACCTCAGTTAACTGACATGTTGGCATTCCCCAAGATAAACTATCATAACTGTTTTTACCATATGGAAATATCTGATTTCATGGTTTCCCTGAGACTTGACATGCTAGTTAATCAACAAAACTATGATAATAATAATAAAATACTCAGAACTCATTCACAAAATAAAGTCCTTATGAGAATGGATATGGTAGTTATTGTGTCAACAGTCCTTTCTCACACAGTGCTTTCATATCACAAACACTACATAAAAGTTTATAAACATTAGGATTTCATAATACCATATTACAAAAAACTGCCATAATAAACATGTCATACAGTCAGGAAATTCTTAAACACAGAAATACATACAGGAACAGCACATTTGCAAAATAACATTTCTTCCTTGACTTGGTCCTGTATAGCACTAAGCACTGATATAAGTTGAGTAGGATACATTCTACCACCAACAACAACAATAATAATAATAATAATAGTAGTTTTTTAATTTTAGTTTTGTTTTGGTTGCTATACCTTGACTCTGGTCCGGCATAGTACACAGCCACTGGTGTGAACTGAGTAACCCACTAAACCCAACACAATAATAATAATAGTAGTAGTAGTAATAGTAAATGTTAAAATTAAATATAAAAGATTTTTGTGTTGATGACATTTATTGGCAGAGATCCAAACGTTGATAGCTCAGTTTCTAAACAGGATCTTCTAAATCAGCGTTTCTCAAAGTGGGCGATAACACCCCCTTGTGGGCGCTGGAGCCTTCTACTGTCCCCCTGAAAGCCTCCAGCTTTCAGGGGGGGCAGTAGAAGGCTCAAAGAGAATTGGGGGGCGTTAAGGAAATATAGAGGGGAGACGGCAGACAAATTCTATATATAAAAATTCAACGGAATATATATAAAATGTTGACATTTTATATATTTTTTATTTTTTATTGAAGGTCACAACTTGAATATTTCTAACACATTGACTTTTATTTTAGCTCAGCGTTTCTCAAAGTAAGCAATAACGCCCCCTTCTGGCGCGATGAATAGATCTATGATAGAGGCAGGGTATTGAACGGTGACCAAAGGCAAAATTGGGGCTGATAAGAGGAAACATTGCGTTTAATGGTTTCCAGATGATGAGAACAATGTACAGTAAGGGCACAAAGTGTGAGATTCATAGAAAAGTTTTCCTAAGAATATTTCCAATCCTTTTCTCACACAAGAGAAAATGGGTTAGGGGGCGTTGGGTATAACTTTATGGAACAAAGGGGGCGGTGGATCGAAAAAGTTTGAGAATCACTGTTCTAAATAGTTTACTCTCAGTAAACTATTTATTAAACAAGAACTACAAATAGTTCTCAAAGATTATGTATAAAAATAGAAAAAGCAATTTTAATTTATAGATTATTATATCTATCATTTTTACTTTCACATAAAACATAATTTATAAAAACTTACCATTTCATTGACAGAATGGAGTATTCTGGTAAGCCCAGAAATAACTAATGAAAATTTATTTTTACTAATGTTAATGAGACATTCTTTATTCTGTTCAACATTAATTCTGGAATGAGTAGTTTGTGGGCCACTGCGACATGGTAACTGTTAAATAAAAATCTTGATTTAGATTTTAAATGCTTAAATTAAATTTGAATAAAACAAACATTATGAACTGAATCGTAAACTGATTTCTTAAATATAATTAAATAATTTTTATTCTAAAATATTTTCAAAGATATTCTTAATTATATTTAATAGTCATCTAATTGTTTTTGAATTTGATAGAATGCTCTTATATAAGCACAATAATATTAACACATTTAGAAATTTTTTTTAAAATATTTGAAATTTAGAACAATGAGAAATTTACATAAAAGTTAACTACAGAAGAATCAGGAGAATATGATTTCTGAAACTTTTATTAATCATTTTAGTATTAACTGTCCTAAACAGAGAAAAATCTAGATTTACTAATTGATCAAATAGTAAGAAGTCACTTCATTTATATGAGGATTTAAATCTAGCCTGATTATTATTAATGGAAGATGTTTAGGTGATGAAGCTGGTGAATATTCTTTTATCTTTAATTGTGGTTATTCTGTTATTGATTTTGTCCTTGTTACTCCATTAATATGAAAGAATATTGCTTCTTTTATGATGGATCAGTTTTCAGACTGTGATCATTGTCCCCTGATTTTGTGATTGGCTTTGAGTGCTGAAATTTTGGCTCCTATAAAGGATTAAAAAAAAAAAGATTAAAAGACTATTCTGGAATGAACCTAAAACAAATGAATTTACTTTGGCAGTGGAAGAAATGCAAACCTCAACTTATTTTTCTTCTATGGAGGAATTAAATCTTTTTGAATTGGCTTGTAACAAGGGATTTAACATAAGAAGGCACAGGGATTCATGGTCTTGGTTTGATTTAGATAGCAGAATGTTAATTAGAAATCAGGATAGAGCTTCAGAGCATTTAAAAATATGCAATTTTAAAAGAGGAAATGAAAAACTGCAAAACTTGGGAAAATCAAATTTTGATCCAGGAATGGATAGCTCAATTCAAAGAACAGAATTTCTTTCAAAAATATGAGCAGAAAAAGTTCAAATGCTGATAATTCTGCTGTAGAGGAATGGTTGAAATCAAAAGAAAATATTGATTGACCAATACAGTTCATCTGACATTTATAACATTAATAAAGGCACAGTTTTTTTATTAACTGTTACTAGTTAAGACATTTGGTTTAATAGGTAAAAAATGCTCTTGTTAGGAAAGACCTAAAATCTAAATAATGATATTGGCAACATTAAACACACAGGGACCTGACAAGAGGACACTCTTAGTTATCATGAAATCTAAAAATCCCAGTTGCTTTAAAAGCTTCATAAAGTTCCCAGTGTGCTATCATAAAAGCAAAAAGCATAGATAACTTCAGAAATGTTTGGATAATGGTTGATAGAATCTGATAATGAGATAACACAAAAGGAAGAGGATCCTTTTGCTGATGGATAACTATATAGCACATTCCACCAATGCAAAAATGAATCTTCTGTTATTTCCCATTATTTGTTATTTCTAAGGTAAAGCAAATAAACCATCAACTCAATAAAGAAATTGCACAGACAATTATCTTATGCCACATTCTTTTGTTTGAAGATTATGTGACATCCAAATGGCATGAGATTAAGTCAAAGACAATAATGAATGCTTGGAAACAGGCAAGGTTTTGCAAAGAAGCAAGAGATAAAGCACAAGATCTAGTTTTATAAGCAGGTAATAATAAGATCTGGGATCATCTGCAACAAAATAAATTTCTGTCCACTGATATGTAATATCAGTGGACAGAAATTTATTTTAATTTAATTTAATTTATTTATTATAATATTACTGATATGTAATATCAGTGGACAGAAATTTATTTTAATTTAATTTAATTTATTTATTATAATATTACTGATATGTAATATCAGTGGACAGAAATTTAGATTGATTGCAGTTTTTAGATTAATTTTTAGAAATTTAGATTAGTTGCAGATGATCCCAGAATCTTTGTTGTTATTTATGAAGAATATATTATAATATTTTCTGATATCATCACTAAATATGGCACCACAGATCAGGAAACTGACTTCTGTTACCAATACACAAAGTGATAAGTCAGCTAATGATAAAGCCAAAGAAAATGATATTAAACTGATAAAGGTGTCACTGAAAGACAATATTCAGTCTTGTAAATTTTCACATTTTCTTTTGTCATAACATGTAAACTTCAATGTCAATACTTGAATTCTGTTCCTATTTTGTAATATTATGGGCTATAACAGGTATAAGGAAAAATTAAAGAATACATTATTCATTAATAAGCTATCAATGCTTTTACACACATTATTGAATAGGTCAAATTATCTAAAAAATCAAAATAATAATGTCTAAAAAGGATCAAAATTCAAGTAATGAAGTATTGCAGATAATAAATGAAGGGTAACAAACTAACATAAAATTATCAACAGATATTTTCTTATATCAGACATCATTTTTGCTATAAAGAAATGACATCACAATTTTTTAATCACTTATAACTCAAAATTAACCACTCTACAATGCCAGTTTTTTTATTATTATACACATTTCTGAAACTATATATTATGAAACAATTTTTTTTAAATCTATCTTCTAAATACAACTAAATCTTCTAAATAAGTAACAAAGCTGATAGAAAAATTGTCCCCATGACAAACGAATGAACAACACTTATAAAAAAATAAATACCAATAAAACAAATACAGTATAAATAAACAAAAATTAAAATCAACACATAAGTTAATAAAGTACCTTATAGACCTTACTTTTTTTAAAGTAATAAAATTCCTCAATTTAAATAAATAATCATTAAGTACAAATATTATAATAGTTCAAGATGCAAAGTTTACTTTAAAAAAGACACTTTACACTAACAATATCTTAACCAACCTAACAAAAAAATCCAGCAGTGAGTTGCTTAACTTTTCTGGCAACATTTTATGGTGCCATCTGTTATGATATTTTATTTATAAAATGTTTATATTTTTAACTATTATAAAATGGCAGAAAGTTTAATTTTGAGGATAGGGAAGGGTTTTATAAAAAACTACAAATAAAGAGTAAAATCGTCATTAAGTCCAATCCTACACATAACCCCCTTTATCTTCCCACCCTTGACCTTTAATCACTGAAATTTAATAGCATCAATCCCCCTAATAAACAAACTCCCTGAAAAATTTCAGAAATTTTCAACAAAAAGCACAGGAGATATTAAGCTTCAAACGGGTGAACAAAATCATGCCACACACTAACATCCATACATACAAAAAAAAGTGCGAATTTTTTTGCATTTCTCAACATTTCAAGGTATCCCAAGTTTAAAAATGTAAAAATCTGGGAGGCCATTTTTTGCTGGATTGCCATACTTTCCCTCTGTTGTAACAGCCAGGAAAGTAAAAGCTAATTAAAAAATAAGAAGTATAGATTTTAACTATAATAAATTAACTAAAAATAGTTTTAAATCAATTTTTTGCAGTGGGGCAATTGAAAACTAATTCTTTCTAGAAGAGATACAAATCTCAAATCCTTAAATACCTTAAATGTTTGAAGAGTCAATCTTTTTAAAAAAGAAATGTCTAATTGTTAGTTCTTTATTGGCTAGAAATTCAAAAAGTGTTCAATTGGAAGGTAAATTCCAGTTCAATATAAGAAAATATGAATATCCAAAATATCACACCAAATTATTGCCTAAATAATCAGGCTTTAATTCTGCTAATTTTAATAATTAATGCTGAGAAATTTGCTACTAGGGGTATTAGGATGTTAAGTGCCATCTCTTAACTAAATTAATAATTATAATTTTAATAATTTATTAAATAATTTAGAACCATCTGGCAGAAAATAAACCGACCTGGGGCGGAGCTTGTATTTAAATTTAGATATAAACTTATGCAGTTAATTAATCATGGTGCTGGCTGGGAATGACTCCTATGTCCACGGCCTAAGTACAACTCCACAATGGCACTCAACCAGCTAACATTTTACCTGGCAAGGTAAATATATAATATAAATTCTAGCCTGATTTTTTAGGCAATAGTTTGGTGATGCTTCTATATTGGGCTTCACAACGTTTGTTACACATATGAATATCATTTATTTCCTTGTCCATTAAACTATCTTATTGAAGTTTTTATAATATTTACTTATATTAAGCTATTTCAATCAATTAAAAACATAATAATAAATAAGTTTTGTAATAATAATTACAAAAACTATTAATCTTTTCTTGAAGACAGAATTACAATTTCTTTATGAATAAAATAATTTTGCAATAAATAAATGTACAATTCTTAAATAAAAATACAATTCTTTAAGACAGAATTATATGTCCTAAGATTCTAGAAGTATGTTGTATGTTTGCTATAGTTTACTAATCCAGACAGTCATGCTTAGACAATAGGATGGATACTCTTTATTACAGTTGGTCTTTGTTACAATAGTTGGAGCAACAAGAACAAGACACGTTGTTCCTGAGTTGTAGAAACCAAATGACCACATGCTTTCTGTGCTCATACTGTTGCCTTCTCTCAGCCACAATCTCCATGGCCACCCAGATCTGGCCCAAAGTCCAAATACATAACACAGTATATTTCGTTAAACTAAATATATATTGTACTAGCTGTACCCATGGCTTTGCCCACACGGATTTTGCAATTTGATAGAAATAACCCTCCCTTGGTACTTCACTAAGGTTCTCAATCATTAGTTGTTACTAATTTTTGTTTGTTTCAAACTATAGCACGCTTTAGAAATACTACGGCACTATCTATTGGTTACTTGAAGAAACTGTCTTTACATGTTACATATATAATAATTTGTATATTTTTTATATATTAATACACCTAAGTACTCAAAAAATACAAAACTTATAAAAAATAAATGACGACTAAACCAGAAAATTCTGAACTTCAATATAACATCAATTAAGTACTATAATTTTAAACAAATAAAAAAATATTTATTAACAAGATAACAAAATTATAGACAAAAACTTTTAAAAGATAAGAAATTTATTCCATCTGTG